CCCCAAAACCCCAAAACCCCAAAACCCCAAAACCCCAAAACCCCAAAACCCCGAAAATAGATATTAAAATTGAATATTTCATTAATTTCCATATGGACATTTTGAGGTTCTACAAAATTATATCTTCAAGAGTCTTCTGGACCTCTTCAACCTTACTAGTAAGATCTTCTGGGAGTTTTAATAGGTCAGTGCTGATCTTGACTAGTGACCCTAAGAATTCCTTTAGCATTTTGTCACAATCAATCTTGCTGATCAATATCTTCTCTTTAAAATAGGCTACTTTTGAGGGTAAATTCTTACCGAGAAGGAGACATTTGAAGCAATTATCAATAAACTCTTGGCCAGTTTCATGCTGATCTACAGATTTCAAGCTCTGAAGAATCTTTTTCATCAGTAAACCTAGATAAAGAAGGCCTTCATCAAATCCTAGGATGACTAATTTTTCAAGAGTGTACTGGATCTGTTCGATATTAGCATCAGAAAGGTGGTTGATGATTTCAGTGAAGAACAAAAATTCATTTCTTGAAAGAATGCTCCCATTTATGTAGGCTTTCAAACATGCATGTAAAGCTTTCTCCTCTTGCTGGTTTTGATATGGAGTTATAAAAGTGTTGTAGAATAAGAGTGGAACTTTCTTTCCTTCAAACATAGACTTATTCAATCAGAAGTATAAAGGAAGGTAGAATTTTGGCATTAGAGTTAATAATTCTTGCAAGCCTAGATGAGTTACTTTATTATACTTTACTTTGATACATGATTGGATTATGTTGCTCATACACCACTGCCATTAGCATATAAAAATTGATAGATTCAGTAGCTTTCCCACCATATTTTTGCAAAAAGGTCTCTTTATTCAGACTATCATCATCAGCTTCGTATTTCTACCCTGATTTTCAAAATTTACCTTAATTTCCTTCTGGACTAACTCTTCCATTTCTTCAAGTCCTTGAGCTTTGACTAACAGATCTATGACTGATTGTTCGTCTGACTCTTCTTCTATTTTTGATTCTTCAGCTTGTCTTGACAATTCAAGTTTGGCCCTACAGAATTATGGGTGAGTTACCTGGCTTCCTTGACGATGTCTTCAACTTGATGTAACAGTTTATTGGTCCTATAAAGTTGTTAGAATATTTACTTTAGAGCAATATCTTCAAGAATCTCATGAAAATTTGCTGGAAAAGAACCCTCAAGTAGTGTTTTGTTTTTTCCACGCAAACACAGAACGAGGTTCCACAGTTTAGCAGATTTGTTTTCTTCCTCTTGAGATTCTTTGTTGTCTCCACAGAGGAAGATACACTTTTGGAGAACTTTTAAAACTTCTTGGATAGCCACATAACGGTTAATTTCTTCCTGGATATTTTCAAAATTTTCAGATTTTATAATTTCAACTGCTTGATAGACTAGGTAAAATCCTTCATTGATTTTATGAAGATCTTTTTCTTCATAAATGCAAATTTTTCAAAGCATTTTCTCTTCAAATACAGAGATAGAAGAACCCTGATTCTGGAGATATGAGTTTATTAGATCCTTCGTGCTATTTTCATCTTCTTGGCATACCATATCAACATAGACATTAGAGACCGAGTCAACAATCTCATTATTTTTGAGATGGACCAATGATTTCCTTAGAAATTCTTTCTTTCTCTTCCATAATCTTGGATTTGGATCAGTGATATTGACAATTTTGAGGATAATCTCCACCATCTGATCCGCTCGGTCGGAATGCCTCTCGAAGAACTGCTTATTATATTTGATAATCAATGATACTAGCTTTGAAACATCTGTACAGATTAGTCAAGAGATCTTACATTCATCTGGTTCTTGATTAGTCACTGCTTTTGCCCACTTATTTAACAAACAAGAAACTGCATTCTTGATGATAAGGTATTCCTTATCATAATCTGTGAATATAAACACATTGTTTCTCAATTCAAATATGAGGTCATCAAAGCTGTCTAGTTTCTTAGTTCTGTTAAAGAGTTCTTCAACTAAGATATCATCTTTAAACATCTCATATATCTCTATTAGACTGAATCAGCAAGTAATTTTATCGGCATCAATGAAAAATTCTCTGATTAGATCAACAAATTTGAGGAAAAATAAATAACTTTGAGAGTCTTTTGATTCAGAATCTAAACTCTGAATCAAGTCCCGGTGGTTTTCGATCATATCTTTAACCGATTGCTCTCCAATTCTGTTGTCAAACTTTAAAGATTTCTCAAAATATTCTTTCTGCATTCTGTGCAAAAGTTGCTCCTCGAACATCGGATAAAGATCGCTATCTTCTTGTCTCTGAATTGCTCTGATCAAGTCATACTTCTTCTGTGTGATTACAACCTCAGCATAGACTTTGACTCAGTCGCTTACTCTTTCTTCACCTTCGATCATTCTCTGAAGAGTTAGAGAATCGTTTAAAGACATCAATAATTTATCATCCTGCAAATAGCTTCCATGTGTTTCCCCCGAGGAAGTGGAGGCTTCATTAATAATAAGAGAGATGAGCTTATCTACCTCAGCTGTCTTTTCATCAGAATAAGGAAGAGTTACTATCTCATGTAGATTTCCAAAAGTCTTTGTCTGGGTAATTGCATAAGATTCTAAAACCTCTGCAATGCCTCACAGTTTTCACCATTTAATCCTCTCGTCACTTCGTGACGAGATGGAATTAATTCTGACAAATTTAGAAAGAAGAGAGCATAGATCAAGAACCTTAGGTAAGTCTTTTACAGTAATCTTATATAGCTCTGAGACAACAAAGTCACACCCTTCTTCTGCCTCAAAGAAGAGAGTGGTAGATCACATTTTGCTCAGCAGCACTCTAAGGAAGTCAATACCTTCTTCTTGACCAATGTAGGATCTTAGGTGTTGAAGATAGATATCCTGATAAATTCTATCATTGTCTGTATAAGCTATAATATCTGCAATGCAGTTGAAATAGTTCTAAAATTTAGTTAGAAACTTACCTCAAGAAAATGTTCATGTTTAATTAAATACCAAAAGCGTTGGAAAGAGTTTTTGAAATTAACCAGTCTCTTTATCTCCTTTGTCGTTGAGATAACCTTTTTCAGTTTATTGAGTTTAAATATCTCTGATATTTCAAAAGCAGATACTGCATCATAATCAAGAAAGTTGATTTCTCTTTGTATTCCTAATAATAGAAGATTGAAAGCCTTATTTGGGCTAATCTCCTCTAAGAATATCCTCTTTGCTATGATTTGATACGGGAGAGGATCGTAATTAAGGTCAAGATCTCCTCTTTTCAACACTATTGTCCCTAAAAATATGAACTTGCTCTTACCTTCTAAAGTGTCTTTTCCTTGAGGAAGGATCAGTTTGTTGAACTTATCATTGACCAGACTAGTGTCAATAGCTTTCAGAATATTATAGTAGTATAAATAATATTCCTGAAGATTTAATTCTTTAAGCTTGATTAGGATATTCTCAATCTTTGTTCCTTCTGAGAGACAGACAGCATTGAGGTAGTAAATACTATCCATGAATGTGAAGTAGGAATAACTTTCCCAGTCAATAACCTCTTGCTTACTCTCTTCTTTGAAAGCTTCCAGGATAATTTCGTATTTAGATATTTTATCCTCTTTGGAGATCAATTCTGTCAATATTTTCCCTGAATTCGGATCTAATATTTTTGGAGTTGAGAGTATCTCAAACCCGACTCTGACCAACTCCTTTTGAACCATGAGACACTCTAAAGCTTCATGTTTCAGGAGGTTTTTCTGCGGGACGACATTTGAGAGGCATTGGTGTAAGATATATTCTTCATCTTTAATCTTTAACAAGAGTGCCTCAATTTGTTCCAAATGTTTCTCTGACTTCTCCCACTTTTCCTTCAACTTAATCATCTCTAATATTGAGGAGTCTGATAATTGGTCAGCCATTTTGAAAGCTAAGGAAAACTTTCCTTCTAAAATAATTCTATTAATAGCTCTTTCTTTATCTCTTGGAAACTCTATCTCTTCGAGATAAATCTTTGGTCTTGGCCCTGTAGAGGTTTTGATTACTAATAGTCTTGAGCCGTCCTCAATGCATCAAAATTTGAACCCTTCTAGATCTGCGATTAACTTATTTTGTTCTAAATTTTCAAAATCAAGAACTGCTATTGAATCTTGATCTTCTGACAATAAGGTAAGAAATTCTGGGATATTTTCGTCCTTTGTCTCCTCGATTCCTGCTTCGTTTGTGTAAAACATAGAGCTAATGACAAAAGATTTGTCTATTTGGGGAGAAAACTGTTTTATTTTCTCTAATTTTCCCTCTTGGTTACAAGCAAATTGGATGATGTCTTGGGTACCTATTTGTCAGATCAGTCATTACCTGAAGGAACAATTAAAATTGTATCTTCACTGATGTATTTGATTCACTGAATATCCCTGATTCCTGGAAGGAGAGTTATCATCTGCTCTTGAGCATTATTATTCATAGTAAAGATCTCATTCCAATTCTTATCTTTCGATGACGAGTTGTCTTGTTTGAGATGAAGGTTAATTATTTTAACTCCAGGAACTTCACGTCTTCTTTTACAAGTTAGAAGCTTTTTGATAAAATTATCATTTGCATTTAAATCTACTTTACAAGCAATCAACAGTCCTTTATCAGTCTTTTGAGTATCAATGACTTCTTTTGCATCATGAGCAATGTCCTCGATTTTAAATGAAATCTTGTGTCTCTCAATCCATACTGATTTTAGTGCAAATTTCTGGATTTTGTGTGGGGAAGTATATTTGTGTGCCGATGATGAAGAGAGGGCGTGTGGGGGAGGCTAGAGGTGAGGAAGGGACTTACTGCAGTGGAGGAGGGGGTTTTGGGGGGAAGGGAAACAGAGGGTCTGGTAAGTGGGCGATTGGGAGGGAGAGGAGAGGGTGAAGTAGCTGTAGGTTAGAAATGGAGGTACTGTGAAGAGGTCTGAAAAGCAGGAATCTGAGAGATGGTAAAGATACCATGATCAGACTGATTTGAGTCATCAAGCTTGCTAGAATCACATGTGAGGTTTACATTCATAGTTTCAACAATTTCAAGTAAAGCATCCGGTGAAATTTTATAATCAGCATATGTTTCGAAGCTTCTTTGGGACTTTTCCGTTGCTAGCAAAGGCTTTGTAGTTCAGAACTCCATTTTCAGCAAATCTTTTAATTTTAATTATTATCGTTTTCATGGGGTTTTGGGGTTTTGGGGTTTTGGGGTTTTGGGG